AAAAAAGTAACAACTAAGAAAGTCAAGTACTGCATATCCTCACTTATAAGGGGGATCTAACTAATGGGTACACAGGGAATGTGTACACAGTGTAGAATGATAGACACTGGAGACTTGGGAGGTCTAGGAGGGACAGAAGGTCAGGAGGATGATGAAGTTACTTAACAGGTATGTTGTACATTATTCAAATACAATGAAAACCAAGATTTTAGTGATGATCACACTAAAAGTCAAGACTTCACCTTTACACAAAATGTGCATGTAACAAAATTTTGTACCCCTAAAATTTATACAAATTAAAAAAAAAAAAGACATAGATGGAGAAACTTTTCCAGATGATAGGATTCTACAGAAGCCTGACAATTAAATGAAATGTTTGATTCTGAGTTAGATTCTGAACTGAAAAGATAAATAGCTATAAAGGATAATTTTAGAACAGTTAATGACAATTGAATATAGACCACAGTTATATAATTGCAAGTTTAACATTAACACAATACTGATTGACTTAACTGTACTGTGATTATCTAAGCAAATGTTCTGCATTCAAAATATTTGGGGCTAAATGGTTTAATGTCTGTAATTCCCTCTCCCATGGTTCAGAAAAAAATGTGTGAGAAGGAATGATAAAGTAAATCGGACAAAAATGTAAATAATTGGTGGTACTTGTAAATTTTCTTTAAATTTGAAATGATGTAAAGATAAAAATTTAACTCAAGAATTCTAAAATCTTTTCATTTATCTGATTTGTGATTGAACCATTTCCAAATTGTTAACATAGGGAAGAACCTGCTTTTTTTGTTTTGGTTTTGTTGTTCTGTCATTGCCAAGTATCTTTGAGCACCTCATGTTCTATATTCATCTGCCTTAAATATTTATAAAATGAGTATCTTTGTAGTGGCACGTGCCTGTGAGTCCCAGCTGCTCAGGAGTCTTAGGCGGGAGGATCACTTGAGGTTGCAGTGAGCTATAATCATACCATTGCACTTCAGCCTGGGAGTCCTAAAAACAAAAGTATTTCAAGGATTTCCTAAATATTTCTTATTTAACTAATAAGTTTTCTTAGGAAGGGGTACTTTATAAAAACAAGGTGGCCTAGACAGATACACCCTTTATAAGGGGACCCCCAAAAACCTGAATTTATCTTTTGGAAGGCCAACCCCTTGTACTGCACTCAGAATTTGTTCCTACAGGTCAAGTGATCTACCAAAGTTTTTATCTGGAAGTTTTGAGAAGGTTGTGTCATGATTTGTGTAAGAAATGTCCCGAGTTATGGCAAACAAGTGACTGGTTCTTGAACCATGACGCACCTGCCCACTCTGCACTGAGTGTTCAGCAGTTTTTGACCCAAAACAGCGTGACTTCCATGCCCCACGCTCTCTATTCATCTCAAGCAACTTTTTGTTTGTTTTTCCGCATGAAAAAAAGTCCCCAAAGGGAAATGTTTTGCTGATGTGGAAGAGGTGAAACAAAAAAAAAAAAATGGCAGAAGCACTAAAAGGTATCAAAATTGACATTCAAAACTATTTTGAGCAATGGAAAAAAGCATCTTGATAGGTATATTACATCAAACAGAGAGTGTTTTGAAGGTGACTGAAACTTAAACATGTGAGAATAAATACATAATTTTTAATAAATAAATTTCAGTTCTTTCGGGGTCCCCTCTTATATTTTGACATTAATCCCACCCATGAGGTTAGAGCCTTCATGGCCTAATCATCTCTTAAAGGTCCCACCTCCCAATACTATCACAATAACAGTTAGATTTCAACATAAGTTTTGGAATGGACAGATATTTAAATCATAGCAAAGTGCAAGCAACAATATGGATGGATCTCATAGACATAATGTCAAGTGAAAGAAACAAGACACAAGAGTAATATTGTATGATTGTAAAATTAAAATTCAAAAATAGGCAGAGCACATCTATGATGTAAGAAGTTAAGATAGTATATTTGATGGGAGTATGGAGTAGCGACTGTTCTGGGATCCAGTTACATAGTATGTTTCTTTGTGAAAAGTAATTGAGGTGGATACTTTGCTTCTTTCTACATGTTATACTTTAATACAATGTTTTTTAAAAAGATTTTTATATTTTATGTACATTTGTTACTAAGACACAGTTTTTATTGTCTTTTTTTTTGTGAGTTGGAGTCTCACTCTGTCGCCCAGACTGGAGTGCAGTGGCCGCTCCCGGCCACCACAGCCTCAACCTGCTGGGCTCTGGAGATCCTTCTGCCTCAGCCTTCCAAGTAGCTGGCACTACAGGCGTGCTACCATGCCCGGCTAATTTTTGATTTATTGTAGAGTTGCCCAGGTGGGTCTCAAACCCGTGGGCTCAGGCAATCCACTCACCTCAGCCTCCCAAAGGTGTGGGATTACAGGCTGAGCCACCAAGCAAGATGCGTATGATAAATTATTTTAGAAGTAGGAACCAGTATGGACAATTAGGCTTCCCTTTACTAGCCAGCTCTATATAACTCATTTTACATCCCTTTATGTCTTACTGCCTTAATTCTTAGAGCTAGATTTTATGTCCAGTTACACTTTTTTTTTTTTTTTGAGTCGGAGTCTCATTCTGTTGCCCAGACTGGGGTGCAGTGACACGTTCACGGCCACCGCAGCCTCAACCTGTTGGGCTCAGGTGATCCTTCTACCTCAGTCTTCCAAGTAGTTGGAACTACAGGCACATGCCACCAGTCCCAGCTAAATTTTTGATTTATTATAGAGACAAGGTCTCTCCATGTTGCCCAGGCTGGTCTTGAACCTGTAGACTCAGGCAATCCTCTCATCTTGGTCTCCCTAAGTGCTGGGATTATAGGTGTGAGCTACCACGCTGGCCTTCCAGTTGTACTATTTTAGTTTGTAAAGTATTAATAAGTGAATGAATAAATAGCCTCAGTTATTTCAGATCTTTGTTTTTTTCTTTTAATTTTTCAAGTTTCTTAGTATAAAATTCTGAGTTAGTACAGTATTTGAAGGTATATGGCGGTTGAAGATGTGAATATTATTGTCAAATTCCTTTTAAAAAATGTTCTCTTAGTTTATTTAGTACATTTTTATTATCTATCATCTATTTTAATAGTCATTGACAGACAATATATATACACTTGTAATAAGAGAAGGAAAACTTTTTTAGTTTAAGTTGTTTCTATATCAGAAAGTTAGGGTTAGAATTCTACTTTCCAAATGCTAGATCTTCCAGGAAGTGTTTCTTTTCTTCACTGTAGCTTGGTGAGCTTGTCCTCCTTTGAAGGCACATAGCAATTTGTACAGCTCTTAAAATATTTTCAGTGTTTCATCATGTAGTCTTTTTCTGTTCCTTTTCTTGATATGATAACCTAGACCTCAGAGATTGTCATTACTTTCTATATCCCTTCTAATACTGGGTATTGTGATTGTGTTGCATGCATTGGTAGTGCTGTGTATTTTGATTTACTTTGTTTATAACCTTGAATGCTATTTCATAACTTAATTTTGTTTGTGTAAATTCTTTATAAATCAGAAATCCTTAATATATAGCTGAATAGATACTCTGTCACCACTCTTCATTTATGAAAGCAAAATCCCAGTTCTGTAGCTAGTTCTTTAATATTTACCCGGTTCAGTCTGGGTATGGCATGGTGACTCACGCCTGTAATTCCAGCACTTTGGGAGGCTGAGGTGGGTAGGTTGCTTGAGCCTAGGAGTTCAAGACCAGCCTAGGCAACCTGGTAAGACCTTATCTTTATAAAAATAAAATAAAATAAAAAATTAACCAGTCATCAGCCACATATTTTCTTTGGGGACAGGCAGGAATATGCAAAACAAAAAAGGATGACTTCCAAGCCAGTTTTTTAAAAAATGACGTTGCAAAAGCTATTTGCTACAAGAAAATGAATTTAATTATTTGTTTTAATTCTTGTGAAAATGGAGATATGACTGGAGGATCAAACAAAGATATACTCTAGATTGTTTGAATAAGTTTCCCTTGTATTCCAGTGACCTCTGAGTCTACTTACCCAACTATTTTGACAACGTGTCTATTTCTTTCCACTTTTCTCTTATAAAAATTCATTCTGCTTTTTTTGTTTTTGAGTTGGAGTCTCTGTCACCCAGGCGTGGCCCACTCTCAGCCACCGCAGCCTCTACCTTCTGGTCTCAAGCAATCCTTCCACCTTAGCCTTCCAAGTAGCTGGAACTACAGGCATGCGTTACCATGCCCAGCTTATTTTTTGATTTATTGTAGAGGTGAGGTCTTGCCAAGTTGCCCAGATTGGTCTCAAACCTGTGGACTCATACAGTCCTTTCACTTTGCCCTCCCAGTGTGCTGGGATTATAGGCATGAGCCACTGCGCCTGGTGTAAAAATTCATTCTTACCAGTGCCACAAATTGATCCTTCTGGACACAACTTTTCCTGTCATGGGCCCCCTGAATATTATTACTGGGGATATATATGGAACGGAATTTGTGGGAGTTGCTCTCAATAAATGACAGTGTCTGTGTATATTCAGTATTTTATTTTAAAGATCTAGTAGTTTATCTCCAGATATTTGACTTTTACCTGTGGGAGTTATTTTTTATGTATTAGAGGAGATGGTGGTTCTATATTAGTGTGTGGATCTTGCAGTTGCTGCAATGATTTGGAGTGATCATCCTCATTATGTCATTATAATAAAGTCTTATGAGGAAAATTGGTATCCTCGTTTGTAAATTCTGTATATCTGTGTTTTACAGTGCAGCAGTGATTGCTACAGACAACAACTTTGTGAGATGTTTATTGTTCTCATTTTGCAGATGAGGAAACTGAGGCTTGGTGAAGTTACGAAACTTGTCCAAAATCACTCACTTTGTAAAGAGCACAGCCAAGATTCAGAGCCAGGTCTGTCCAACTTCAAAACATTAATTATAGCCAGGAAATTGAAATAGTTGTGAAGTGTCAACCTATGATAAGTTGTGTTGGTGTGAATCCTGCTTAATTGTTGTTTAACTCCTATTGATAATTTTTTTGTTTCTTTGGGGTTGTTTTTTTAGTTGGAATCTCACTCTGTCGCCCAGACTGGAGTGCAGTGGCTGTTCCCGGCCACCGCAGCCTCGACCTGCTGGGCTCCAGTGATCCTTCCGCCTCCGCCTTCCAAGTAGCTGGAATTACAGGTGTGCGCTACCACGCCCGGCTGATTTTTTGATTTACTGTAGAGTTGAGGTCTTGCTGCCCAGGTGGGTCTCGAACCCGCGGGCTCAGGCAATCCACTCACCTCAGCCTCCCAAAGGCGCAGGATTATAGGCTGAGCCAATGAGCCCGGCTGATAATTTTTTTAGTGCAGAGATTTTTGTCCTTCATAATCATTTCATATATCTTTTAAGTATTGTGACAAGTAGTATAAAATGGTAATTAAGAATTAGGGCTCTGGAGAAAGACTAGCTGGTTATAAATCCCTAACCTTCTTAATATAATTGTTGTGTGACACTGGGAAAATCACTGAACTTTTCTGTACCTCAATTTTTCTATCTGTAAAATGGTGATAATAGTATTATCTACCTGATAGGGTTGTTGTGAACATTAAATGACTTAATACATACAAAGCACTATAACAGTTCCTGGCACATAGTAAGCATTCAATAAATGTCACCAATTAGCATTATCATCTCTTAGCAATCAGTAAAGTAAACAATCATAATTTCTAATTCTCTGCTAGGAAATTTGGGTAGAACAAAGTTTAGGCAGCAATATAGAGTATCACAAAACTTATATAAACCAAAATTAAACTTGAATCACTCATTTGATCAAGTTCAGATCTATTGTAAAGCAAATTGTGCAACTGCTGATAGGTCTCACATGTACAAAGACTTTACATATATAAGGACGGTGCATAGTTTTACTAGATATACCCTTTTAGCCTAATTAGGATCATTGTATTATTAATGTGTTTGCTCTGTTTTCCCCTTGAGAGTGCAGTTTGTATTTACAATATATGTCTACATGTTCAGGTGGCTTTTAAGGAGATGGTGTTTTGGTGATATTGACAGAAAAAATTACCAGGAACCAAAACCTTATGTATTATGTAAAATGTTGGCAGCATTTCATCACTTGTAGGAGTGGCTGTCAGAATTTACACTACAGTGAATGTACACACTGACTGGCCTTTGAACCAGTGGAACCACAGCATATCTTTTATTTATTTTAGTTATTATTTATTTATTTATTTATTTATTTAATTTTTTTTTGAGTTGGAGTCTCACTCTGTCACCCAGACTGGAGTGCAGTGGCTGCTACCAACCACCGCAGCCTCGACCTGCTGGGGTCTGGTGATTCTTCCGCCTCAGCCTTTCAGGTAACCGGAACTACAGGCGTGCACTACTATACCCAGCTGATTTTTTGATTTATTGTAGAGATGAGTTCTTGCTGCCCAGGCGGGTCTCGAACCCGCGGGCTCAGGAAATCCACTCACCTCAGCCTCCCAAAGGCGTGGGATTACAGGCTGAGCCACCGAGCCCGGCTTATTTATTTTTTTGAGACAGGATCTTGTTCTGTTGCCCAAGTTGGAGTGAATAGCTCGCTGCAGTGTTGACCTCCTGGGTTCAAGTGATCCCCCATCCTCAGGCTCCTGAGTAGCTGGGACTACAGGCCCCCACCACTATGCCAAGCTAACTTTTTATTTTTGTACACATGGGGTCTTGCTTGTTGCCTAGACTAACACAACACACTCGACTAAAACTCAGCCATGTGCTGATCATGTGCTTTTTTCTCATACTTGTTTATCGCAGCTGTCAGAATCCTAAAGTGCCACATCAACTATCACTACAATTTAATTAAGTAAAATACCTGTGATTAGTTGCTAATAATAAGTTTATGTCATTGCAGAAATATTCATGAATGGGACATAATTTGAGTCAAGTTATACAAAAATTCAAAAGCTATTAATTAGAAAAATGGACCTGTCTTGTGGATGGGCCCTATTTCTGTAGCTTTTTTTTGTTTTTTTTTGAGTTGAGGTCTTACCCCGTTGCCCAGACTGGAGTGCAGTGGCACAGTCACAGCTCACCACTGCCTTGACCCCCTGGGCTAAGCAATCCTGCCTCAGGCTCTTGAGTAGCTGGGACTACAGGTGTGTACCACCATACCTAGGTACCTTTTTATTTTTTTTGAGTTGGAGTCTCACTCTGTCGCCCAGACTGGAATGCAGTGGCCGCTTCTGGCCACCGCAGCCTCAACCTGCTGTGCTCCGGCGATCCTTCCGCCTCAACCTTCCAAGTAGCTGGAACTACAGGCACGCGCTACCACACCCGGCTGATTTTTTGATTTATTGTAGAGATGAGGTCTCACCAAGTTGCCCAGGCGGGTCTCGAACCCACGGGCTCAGGCAGTCCACTCACCTCGGCCTCCCAAAGTGCTGGGATTGCAGGCTGAGCCACCGAGCCCGGCCACCTAGGTACCTTTTTAAAAACTTTTTTTTTTTGCGTTGAAGTCTTACTCTGTTGCTCAGGGGATCCTTTCGCCTCAGCCTTCCAAGTAGCTGGAACTTCAGGCATGTACCACCACGCCCAGTTAATTTTTTGATTTATTGTAGAGATAAGATCTCGCCAAGTTGCCCAGGCTGGTCCTGAACCCATGGGCTCAGGCAATCCTCTTACTTTGGCCTCCCAAAATGCTGGGATTATAGGCATGAGTCATCATGCTCAGCCATTAAAACATTTTTTTATTTGTAGAGATGAGGTCTTATGTTGTTCAAGCTGGCCTCGAACTCCTGGGCTCAAGTGATCCTCCTGCCTCAGAGCCTCCCAAAGTTACAGGGTTACAGGCGTGAGCCACCACATCTGGCCCTCTGTGGTTTTTAATGTAAACATGCATTTAATTTATTTCCTTTATTTTATGATATTAAGCTTTCCTATCTTTGAATATATGTCTTTCTGGTTATTTAGGAATTTTTAAATATTCTTCAGTAGGTTTTGTTTCTTTCCACAAAGAAAATTAAAATACCTTATTATTATTTTGTACCATTGTATGTATTTTTTTCCTTTCCATTTTCTATGTACTAATGTAGTTTTCTTTCTTTCTTTCTTTCTTTTTGGTGTATAGATCTATGTTCAGTTACCTAAATTATTTCATTTATTTTACTTTTCTTTTTTTGGTGTGTAATCTATGTTCAGTTACCTAAATTATTTTATTAATTTTACTTTTCTTTTTTTTTTTTTGGTGTATAGATCTATGTTCAGTTACGTAAATTATTTTATTAATTTTACTAATTTATGGATGATTTTAGATTTTTTGTATGTCAACTAAACTGTTGTGAATGAACGTTGTTTCTTTCCTATGCTTATACCGTTTTTCTTTTTCTTGCCTTAACTATGCAGATTAGGACTTCCAGTACAGTTTTCAATACAAGTGTTAATAGTGGGCATTCTCATGTTGCACTTAGTGTTTATTTGTTTTGTTTTGGCATTACAAATAATGTTTGCTATAGACTTTTGATAGATACTCTTTAAAAGTTAAAGGCACTTCTTTTTTTTCTTTTGGTAAGAAAGCAGGATTTATTGAGAGGACCGAAAAGCTCCCACAGTGGGAGGGTACCCAAAGGGGTTGCCCTGGCATTTCTATTCTTAGTTGGCCAAGATATTTTTGTTTGTGAGGAATGAGTATTGAATTTTGGGAAATGTATTTTCCGAACTTACAAGATGATCATATAGTTTTTCTCCCATATTCTGTTAATTGGAGAATGGCATTTATAGATCTTCTGATGTTGAATTACTCTTGTATTGCTGGAATAAACACAACTCTGTCATGTTGGACTTTTGAAAAATATACAGTTGGGGCAACCCCTTTGGGTCCTCTCCTGCTGTGGGAGCTTTTCTATTTTCTCAATAAATTCTACTTTCTCACCTTCAAAGAAAAAAAGAACACACACACACACACACACACACACACACACAGCTGGGTTTAGTTTAGTTTATTAATACTTTGTTTAAGATTTTTGCATCTGTGTTCACAAGTGAATTAGCCCATAATTTTTACTTCTTGTCCTTATTTGTTTTTTGTGTTCAGATTATGCCAGCCTCAAATGAGGAATTGGGAACTAAGTTATCCCCGCTCCAGAAGGATTTATTCAAGACTGGAATGATCTTTTATTGGAAAGTTTGGTTGAACCTCTGTTCAACTGTCTGGCCTTGGTATTTTTTGAGGCAGTGGGTTTAATATTTTGGGGGAGAGGTATATATTCACTTTTCTAAATGGTTTTACTTAGGATTATGTTTCTAGTTATGCCTGTTTTTATTTTTATTTATTTATTTATTTATTTTTTGAGTTGAAATCTTATTCTGTTGCCCAGGCTGGAGTGCCATGGTATGCTCATGGCCATCGCAGCCTTGACCTGCTGGGCTCAGGCGATCCTTGCGCCTCAGCCTTCCAAGTAGCTGGGACTACAGGCGTGTGCCAATTATACTTGCCTAATTTTTTGATTTATTGTAGAGATGAGGTCTCGTCAAGTTGCCCAGACTGGTCTTGAACCTGTGAGCTGACAATCCTCTCACCTTGACCTCCCAAAGTGCTGAGATTATAGGTGTGAGCCACCACACCTGGCCTATGCCAGTTTTTAGTTGTTGTTTTTTTTTTAAAGGAATTCATTCTTTTTGTCTAACTTTTTAAAGTATTTGGCATAAAGTTGTTCAAATGTTCTTTCATTTTCCTTTTGTTCTTTCATTTTCTTTTTAATTTCTGTTATGTATTTCTCTTTTTATAATTCCTAATTTTTTGTGCCTCTTCTCTTTTTTCTTCTTAAGTCTTGCCTGAGGATTTATATATTTTCTTAGTGTTTTTGAAGAACCAGTGCTTGCTTTTGATTTTCTTCTTTAGGTTTTTTATTTAATTAATTTCTGGCCTTTTTCCTT